AAATCTCATTGGAAAGTCTGGCCTTGTTCAGCAATGGCAATGAATGTTGATAGATGAAAAACAGACTCAGTCAAAATGACTTTATCTCTACAATCCCAGCAGGAAGCCTTATTCATATAGGTAGTATATTACAGGTTTTCATTGATTGTTTAAAAGCTTTGTCAGTGTAGTCAGACTCAACAGATCCAGCAATGTACTTGTTTTTGGATGACAGTTCAGTTTTGTCCATTGGATCTTTTGGCTATACAACCACAATTTGCCTCTTGTAACTTCTCCAGCTGCTTTCAATGACTGGGACTGAGCCAATGACAAATTCACACTCACAAAGACTGTACAATAAGAGGGAGATACGAGAAAGGCTTGTTCAATCGTGTGTGTCTTCAGAATGACTTCATGCAGTTCTCATCACTTCATGACTTTAGACCTTTCAACACCTTCTCCACATTCAGAACACATTAATGGCAAAATGAAAAGGAACCGATGTTCACTGATCACTAAAATATATTTAACAGGGTAAACTCTTTACACTCTGAAATGGCTCTGTGAAAGATCACAAAAGACATTACTAAATCTACGAGCCCATTGTTAATAAAACAATGGTTCACAATAGAGCTGTAATTAAGGACCATTTTCAATATTGTTCAATATGCCACTTATTTTCAGACTCAATTATTTGTTAAGTCTATAATACAAAAAAAGCTTAAAAAATGTGCTTCAAGAACAAAATGTGACTCTTCAAATTGCCCCTTTTTTTCAACACTTCAAACCCTAAAGAAATCCTACCATTTATGAAGCTGTAACCACCGAATGTTTGACAAAAGAAATTAACCTTTAAGGCAAATTTACTCACCTTTAAGTATGTGAACATTTCTATAATGGCATGGAGATTATGTGACAATATTGTCGAGGTATTAACAATAATATCTGAAGCTGAAGTCAACAGTTCATTGTTGTGCGTAACTTAAATAAGCATTAAGTGTAAAAGTACTTCAAACTGGAAAAACGGAAAACATCCTTTTCAGAGTCCATGAATGGTTTCCTTTGAACATGAACATGATTACGGGTCAGAGTGCTGTCTTTTTCAAAGGTATGATACATCCCAATTTTAGTCATCATATTAAATAAAATAATTTCCAATGGATTGTGAAAGAATAACACTAAATATTTAGTGTTTAAATATTTATCGACTTTTCATTAACTTCATAAAAAACACAGGATTGTGCTTTCACACTGGCTGAACCTTCACAAATTGGTTCAAATCATGCTATAGCTGGTTTGGATTACAGCTGCATCAGTCACAACAAGTTGTTTTTGGTCAGATGTATATAAAAAACTGCCCTCTGAACCAGGGCTTGGTCTAGTGACTTTGCTCCCAGGTGGACATAAAACTGAAAGCTCCAAGGTTTGAAATAACTACTCTGTTAAAAAACTCCTCAGCAAAGATTGAACCAAACTCCTGAAAAACAAACAGGATGTGGGCTTTTAATCTCACATCCAATCAATTTTAAGGTTGCTTGTATTCTTTGCTTTGTGCTGTACCAAAGTTTTATTTCCAGAGGGTGAACATTTTGAAGTAACATCAAATCTGCCACTGCATGCTGTTCAAATAAGCCCAAGTGTTTCCTTGCATGACTGAAATATGTTGAAACATACTTTATGTCCGAACCATCACTCTTTGTCTCTTCTGTACTACCGCTCAACCACAAAACTTGAAAGTGACACACCATAAAAGGCAGGAAGAGGTTTCTCTATAGCTCTGTTTATTCACTCTCTCTCACTTTACCAGCATTTTTTTACATTAAGGGACTAACATTACGAGCATGGTTGAGGGAATGAACCACAAACCCTCTACTAAAGCTCTGCAGGGGGAATGGGCATTTCAAATCATAAAGACTAATTAAGGGCAGTTTGATTTATAGGGTATACTGAACTACAGGAAGCTTCAAAGTGAACATGTTCATTATGTTGTGCACAGCACAGGAAGCATATTTTTCTTAATATAGAACTGCATTATTCAACCTTATGTGCTATGATTAGTACAACTAAGCCGTGATTGGCTGTTAATTGATGCTGCGAAGTTTGCCGCCTCTGGCTAGGAAACCTTTTTAAATCAGAATTACAGGAGTCTGCTGTTTGTGTCTCATTTAAGTGTCAACTTAATATTTGGACCCAAATCTCTTTTCTAAGTCTATACATGGCAGACAAAACTGCAACAATTTCACAAATAGAACAATAATTTGGTTTTAGACAGGATATATGGCCAGTGGTACCATTTGTTAAAACTGGTAAAGTTACATTTTGATCTATTGGCTTTACTAGTCAATCAACAGGACTAGGGTGGACTAGGTGGTATTGTATTGGGAAAGAAACATATTTGAAATGTAGGGTTTAATATCACACCATTACTCCATGGTGTCTGTAATTTTTAAAGTCCAGATTTAACACGTCTGCTCACTTTAATTTTGTATCAAACACAGTGCTACAGTATGAGCTACGTGCTACAATTCTGCCTTGCATTGATATTTAAATGAGCTTAATTACAACACACAATCAATTCCCACATGACAATGCTTAGTGCTGCAGCTTAAGTTAAACCAGGATGAACTTTTCTTCACAGGCTACATGAGTTCTCTTGCAGGAGCCTTTTTGCAGTGGCCCCCCAGCTGTGCCAGCGCAGTGGTCCCACTAAAATAGATGAGGACACAGGATTTTTTGAACGCAGCCTAAGGCAGCAGAGTTTCTCGAGAAAAATCCCTCTCCCCACCAGAAAGCCCCAGTGAGAGAAGAATTTATTCTGCAGTTAGAAGTGAAATCAAGAGCATGCTAAGCAGTCAGAGCAAGATAGATTATAAGGTGGCAAAACTCCCAAAAAGAGCGAGCAACTTCCATTTCAGCATCGAATATGTAAGCCACCCTCATCAGAAACTTGTTTAGACTGTAATCTGGTGGGCTAACCTGCTGTGGCCCTCGACAGCACACATAATCCATTGAGAAAAAGGATGACGAATCAGCAACTTCACTCACACAAACAGGAAAGATAGTCAGTCAGAAGATTGCCAGTTCTGCTCTCTTCCTCCTCACACGGTCCTGTTCTTCACCCAACACTTGTCACTTATCTCAAAGAGCTGTCAATCTGTTTTTTTTTTTGTTTTTTTTACATTATCTTGCCCTTTGATCTTGCACAGTCTGGCATCTCTCAACACCACTTTTAAAGCCTCCAGTACAGGGGTTCACTCTGTTTTCATATGTTAACATATTTTTTCACTATTCAGACTGCAAGGCACAATACTTAACGCCCAAGTGACATCTCACGTTCGATATGAATTCCTGGAGGCGTAATCGGGGGACCGACTGATCCCACCTGTGTGCCCCCCATCAGAGTTAGAAACAGAAGCGTGATTGGATTGGCCCACCCAGCCAGGGGGAGCAGCACTGTGTCTGTCTGTGACTTCATGTAATTTGACTGCTGCTATTAACCTCATGTTAGCAGCCAGATGCTAACAGCTGACCACACCCAAGTGGCTAAATAATGCCCTTTATTTGCTGATTCAAACAAGTTGATTTAGACATAAACATACTGGATTTTCCCTTATAGTTTACCTGAGGGTGTCTCTTTATGACATGTGTATCTTTATCAATATTTCCTTTAAGCTGCCCTGTTGCCTTCTCCCACTGATATGAACGAACACCAAGATAGCATAGGCAATGAAGGCAGGGAAAAACAGCCGAGATGTTGACGTCTGACTTGCTATTCCCCTGCTGTGAGCTGGTCAGGGCTTTGGTAATGAGAGAGAGGGGACCTGACAGAGCCTGCGGTGTGTGTGTGTGTGTGTGTGTGTGTGCGTGTTTATGTGTTCACGTTTGTGTGCATCGGATAGGAAGTGTGTGTAATTTACTGTGAGGACTTTCTTTCTGACTTGTGTGCATTTGTGCAATATTGGAAGGGAACCAGCTGTGGCCATGTGGTCGAGGATTTGAATGTGTGTGGACATCTACATACATATTTGAGTGTCTACAGGAGGAAGTGTGTGCATGTTGTTGGAGGTCTGACAAGGCTCAGTCACACAGAAACATGTCGTGGAGCGAAGTGGTAAGCCAACATTAAGCATGAACAACCCTTACTCAACCCTTCTCTACATCCTCTACCTCCCTTCCTCTTTTCCTTTCTCCCTTCCCTGGCTCTTCTTCCTCCATCTCTTTTCCTTCCCCTCCCTCCCTCCTCTCTAATCGCTGGGCTAATTGACTCAGCCAGATTTGGCAACAGGCTTATTAGTGTCATTTCACACAACAAGGAGTGACCTATGCAGACGCCGCAGACGCTGACAGTCGAGACAGTGCACACCCTGCTATGTTACGCTGTGCAAATCTAATTCCCCCGTACGCATTAAAGCAGCTATTTCTTTCATTTGATCAAATGACCTATTAACAGCATTTTCATGTGACTGCTTTCCCAAACTTGTGTTTGGTCAAGAGTTTCAAAAACTGAAGCGGAATGATTCAATATCCAAGTTCATCCAATTTCCAGCTATAGCATAACATGTGTAAAACCCTTCATTTTAGTTCAGTTTCCCAACAGTTAACCTCAAACAAGAGGGAAACCCAAAGGGGACATATTCAACCGTAGGCCCTACACATGTCAAGCCTCAAACTTCGTCTTTGTATTGTTTTTCACACCGAATATCCTTGTGTGGGCCCAAACATTCATTCATAACAGTAACATTTCATGTCACCATGCCATGCTTGACACTCCTCTCTGCAGGTAAACAACGTGTGTGCGATGATAGGTAGGCCTATGTGTGTGTGAGTGTGGTGAGAGTTGATGTTTGGGGTAATGCATTTGTAGTTTCATCTGATGAGATACATTTTAAGCGTCATCCAAATGTTTGGCTCACGAGTGTCAGTGCGTGAGTGTGTACGTGCAGTCTGCGTGTGTGTGTGTGTGTGTGTGTGTGTGTGTGTGCGTGTGTGTGTGTGCGCAGAATAGCCTATGGTGTCCTTACCGCTGTGCGCGCTGAACCAGCGGGGTGCGATGTGCAGGGGCAAGGTGTCAGCCAGCGACCCCCGGGACCCCAAATAGAGTACCCCGTCCGTGTGGTGACCTCCGCCCCGAGTGTCCTGGAAGCCAGTACCGTGGGGGGCGGCTGTAGTGCCACCTGACCCCCCTCCGGCTCGATCAGAGTCCGTCCCTCTCGGGGTGTAGAAGCCGAAGGGCACGGCGGCACTGTGATCAATGCCCATCCCGGCCACGGAGCTCACCGAGCGACTCCGCAGGCCCATGGTGCCACTCGGCCGGTAGTGGCCGAAGTGGGCCGAGGGTGGCACCGCGCTGTCATCGGTGGAGACACCGGGAAAAGCACCCGGGGACGCCCCGCCGTGCTCTGCTTACCCCCCATCCAAAGCGGGAGACAAGTGGGTGGGGGTTCTGGGTGGATACCAGGAGGGGGCTCGGCTCGATCCGCAAAGGGTCGAGAGAGCCGAAACAGGCTGTCGCCCCCTCCCCTCGCTCCTGTCTGTCTCTCGGCCTGCCTGCCTGCCTGCCTGCCTGTCTGTCCGTGTGTCTGAGCAGGCTCGTCAGCTCTGACTCTCTGCAGACGCAACAGCCCGTTTCCCTGCTGAGCGGAACATGAGCCCGCCCTGACGTCTGGATTCACCTCACCCGCAGACAAGACCTCGACACAACCAGGGGATGGTCTGACAAGCTGAGTGACGCCGAAAGCCCAGAATGACACGTAGATGTAGGTGACACCACACTCCCCTTGCTGCCCCAGGTGGTTAAGACGGCTGTATCATTGCAGGCAGGACGCGGCAGCAACACGTTCGGCCCGAATCACAACAGCGCCGCAATGTTCACTCCGCTGCTCTCGCCTCATCTGATCTCAGACATCGTGACAACTGTTGCTGTCTGTCTGACCGCCGCAAAACGACGGTCTGTCCTGCACCCCCCCCCCCAAAAAAAATGTGACGTCGTCGTCCGTGGGGGTCTCCAGCCAGCGGTCGCTTTTCTCCCCGTAGATCAGGGTCACAGTGAGCCGCTCCCCTGCGCTCAGATCGGCGCTCCGCTGCTCTCCGCTCCGCCGCCGCTGCTGCTGCTGCTGCTGCTGCTGCTGGCCAGACAATGGAGGCGCTCAGTGCGCAAGCTCGGATCCAAAATAAAGACGGGACAGGAGACACTGGTGGGAGAAGACAAATTCCCTTTGTTATAATTTTAAATCAATGGGAATAAGCTTGGCATTTTTGAAAGCTGTGATTCCGTTAAGACCAATGAGTCTCGGTGCATTTTCAATATGGCAAGAAGTAGCAGTGAAAATCATTTTTCTTCAATGTTTTAGTCTATTGAGCCTAAATTGGCATTTTTAGATTTAGATTGAGAGCACAAATAATGACCACACGTGACTCTGTTATTTGTATTTGGTAGCCTATATTTTCAATCATGAAGAAAGGCATATCTTCTAGGCCTCAATATACAAATAAAAAGTTAAAACATGATTGAAAACCTATAGGGAATCCAATTTCTTGACATAAGGAATACAACAAGGAGCTACAAGTATTTTCAGACATGATGCTTCTGCATCGCAACATATTATTGTCATTAACAATTTATGCACAGATTTTCCCACCATATGCTAAATTATTTGGATTACTGGCTCACATGTTTGGTTTTGGATTACTTGATCTAATCCTGTGCATGTGTGTGTGTGTGTGTGTGTGTGTGTGTGAGGGTGTTATTCATGTGTGTGTCTGTGAGAGACTGTGTGATTAGGCTGGTTTAATGCTGTCTGGTTCTTTGTTCTTCGCAATAATAACACGAAGTCAATCATGTACGGCTTCATGGCCTCACTTCCCAAAAAAGGTAAACTCTGTGGTAAAGCACTCACTGCAATAGGTTTGAATCTATCCAGCTATAGCTGTTGACATCAGGCCTATAAATGGTCCCCTCTCTGCGTCGCACGCATGCAAACACACACACACACACACACACACACACACACTAACACACGCACGCGCACGCACGCACGCACGCACGCACACGCACACACACACGGACGACGCACGCACGCACGCACGCACCCACAAGCACGCACACACACACACACACACACACACGCACACACACGCACGCACACAAACCATGCATCAACTCCTTACATAAACAGGAGACCACAGGGAGAAAATAAAGCCTATAGGTCAACTCTATCATCAGTGGTTTCATGCGAGTGCTTCCTGTTATTATCATAAGAAGGATTACTACACGGTGGCATTAGCAAATGACAAAGTCCTAGAATTACTGACAAAAAACACAACAGGTAAAGCCTATATGGTAAAAACACAAAAAGTGGACTAATGTCTTCAAACATTTTTGATACTCTTGTACTTTTTGAGACCAGGTTTTAGGATTTCCGTTATAACCTATTTATAGGCCTATTAGTAATCAGTGGTAGGCTACCAAAGCTTAAAAAAACTTCAGATTTCCAGTAGTTTTTTTTAAACCAATAGCTGCAGTGAGCGAAAGAGGACTCAGGAGTGGTCCTGCAATTTTGGTGATGTATATCAAGAAATGACACAGTTGCCTATCTGCTGCTTAGGACATGACATGTATTTTTGTTACATTGAAACAGGTATTTTATATCATCAGATTTTTAGAAGAATCATATCAAAGTTATTGACAACCCCAAAGTGAACATAGCCTCAGGGTCACACCGCCAAGGTGCCCCAAACCTGCATTCATCCTCATAGCACTCCTCTTGCCTATTAAGTTAGGTCTCCGAACCACGGTATAATAATACAAAAATACAAATTTTAAGGGTAAAAAAACAGATATACAAAAGTACTAGATAATGTGCAAAAGATGAGCACTCAAAAAAATAACAACAGCAACAACAAATGTGCACGGACATGAAATTTACATACAAATAAAATATAAGGCACTAACTTCACTCGCCCAAATTTTACTTGTAACTTTGTGTTGGCTAACAACTAGCTCCTCTCTCCAGCACTAGCCCCCCTGTCCTTAAATAGTCCCTCATGGCTCTAGAAAGTCAACATGGGAATCACAAAAAGGTCAAACTCACAATGACATTCATCCAACCAATGGGTATAGCACCCTCAAGGCTACGTCACTTCTTATGTAGTCTAATTTTAAAGTTTCTCCTTACAAACAGTCTTGTAATAAGTATGACAAGAGTTCTTTTGCATTTTTTTACACAATTTAAATAAAATGTGGGTGTCTTTATAAGATCTAAAGCAGTCAGGTAAAGGACAACAAAGCTTTGTTCCAAAGATGACAGTGCAGGTAGGCAATACAATCATCCACCATTCAAATTCACCTTCAGAATGAAATCTTAGAAATGTGTCAACACTTTCAAATAGATTCTCTGTTAAGTTTCTGCAAAGTGCTGTGAGAGCTTCTTTCATGGGTAATATGAATGAATGAAGCTATTGGGCCAATTGAAAAAGCCATTAATAAAAATAAAATGTGGGTTGCCAAGTTAGGAGAAAAACTCTGGCAGATCATTCACGGGGATACATTTGAAAATTGTGAAGACAATCCCTGTTAAAGTCAATCCAAAACACGAGAAATAGACTTTAAAAACTCTAACTGGTATGTGTAATGGTGTCTGTGTAGGTTCTCAGTCATCTGGGGCATGGTCAATTTGAAGCTTGATCCAAAGGCAGCTGGACTGGTTGAAGATCTTGAAGACGTTTCACCTCTCCTCTGAAAAATGTATGTGTGTAATTGTAAAATGTAAACTGCACTTCATGGCAAAGAATTCTTAAATGTAACAGATATATTTATGAGGATGTGACCCTGTATGTTGTTATCAGTAGCAGAGACCCTGAAAAAAGGAAGTTTAACAATAATGTTACATGGACACCTTCGGATCCATCCCATAATGGCGCTCACTGATTACAAGTCATCAAACAATTTATTACATCTTAATAATTAACAATAAAAAAAAAATAGTCTAAATGCTGATAAAAGAACTGAGTGGCGACCTTTACGGACCATAAACCACTAGATCAATATATAACAGAGTACGTTCCAGATCTGAGGCTTTACTGTCCAAACATCACTTTCACTTTGACGTGTTGCTATATAAATACAAGTTGATTAATTCATTAAATAAACCAGATTATAGATACAATAAAGTACATTTATGTCCAAACTTTATAGAGACTTGATTGTTTCTATGGCTGTGCAGGGACTGTTTATTTCACTTTCATTGTATTGAGGGATACATGTTGTGAGGGCATGCACTGCTGACACTCTGTGGTGGAGCAGAGTATTACTATTCTGTAAAGCTGTGGTCTGATCCGTCTGTCTGATCAGTAAGGCAGCATGTTATGTCTGTACATTTCAATACCAGTGGGGTCATGGTGTGATGTAAGGTTATTTGACTCCATGGATAAGGCTGCAGCCATCAAAACTGGTTTCAGAGCAGGCCCATGATGCCTTGTCCTCTTCTGATTATTCATGTTAAGTGAATAACTTGGCAAGAGCGACTATGTACATATAGAAGTGGGATCATCTTACTGACCTATTTAGAGGAATAGTGAGACTGTCCATTTAACTCTTCAGTTCAATGAAAGATTAAAAGCAGGATAGAAAACACCTCCATTGGCTCCCTCAAAGATAAACAGATGCTCTAAAGCTCATTGAGAGTGTCCAAGAGCTTTTCAGATGTCAGACAAAGACTAAGACCAGGAAGTTACTAATCCCAGGCCAAAGACAGAAATACAAAATGCAGCATTATTACACCAAAACATTTTTATTTTACATGTCGGTCTGTTTTGACAATTAAAGGATACAAAATGGAATTTTTAATTTTAATTTTCTGAAATGCTGTATGTGGACCACTGTTACATTTGGATATTGCTAGGCCACTCGTTCCCGCATTACCATTTTGTATGCTAAGTGCTAAGCTAACTGAGTACTGGCTACAGTGACTGCATTTTTCCCACACAGATACGAGGGCAGGATACTTTCTGTTGATACTGCCAGAAAGACAATGGATAAGTAGCTTCCCTAATATGTGAATGTCATCAATTATTGTCAACACAATGATCAATACATGGGCAGGAACTAATGATCATTTTTATTTTCAGTCACATCACAATTGTTTCAACTTTGAGTATGTCAACGTGCTTGTGTTGAAGCCGTTAAAGCAACATAGATATTCATGTTATGATGATTAAAAACATGAATAGAGGTCAATTAGATAAAGGTTTTTTATTTGTCATTAAAAAAAAGAAATAATCAGTGATGAACGTGTGCAAACACAAGTAAAGAGACAAAACTAAGATTCAGATTCAACACAATGATTTGATTTGAATCAAAATATATCATGAACGTGCAGAGAGAGAAGAGAGCACATCATGTTACTGAGTGTTGAGTTACTAACTTTCCCTTTAGACATAACAACAGTTCATAGTTCTATTGGCTGCAGAATTTTCCCAGGATTCATCAGGTTCTTTGGGTCGAGGGCGTCCTTGAGTCCCTGCATGACCCGCATAGCCATGGGTCCCATCTCCTCGCACAGCAGAGTCCTCTTCCCTAAGCCCACGCCGTGCTCCCCTGTACATGTACCATCCATGGCCAGAGCTCGCCTAGAGGGATCACAAATCACATACATTGACTGCAACCAACGTGACTGATCGGTCTGGTCTCTTCTAGACAGTCTGGGGTCAAGCCAAAGATGACGTCCGCCTTTCTAATTAGTTTATGTCAGCATTTTCGACCAAATGTAAAATCTCGTGGTGCAACTGAAATCACAAATCTCACAGATCACTGAGTTTGGTCTCAGATCTGATCGGTTCTCCGGATCAGCCACAGAAAAAAAGATATTTATAATCTAACTTTTGTACTCCTCAGCTATAACCATGACTCAGACCTAATATTTTGACAGCACTATAAATCAAAATGATTTTAATAGTGGATCACATTTCAATGCGATCCACTATAGGCTATACTCAGATAATAATATAAGCAGTTAGATAAACCTGAACTCTGTCCATTTGTTGTTTGTACTACAGTCTATAATATAAAAACAGCATCATTTCAATAACAGTATTTGTAACCCTTCAGCCCCCTTCGTAAGGGAAATCAACTTTACAAACCTAAAATAGAAAATGTTCTGGGAATAACAGTTTGCTGTAATCTACAGAAATCTTTTTTCTCAGCTTTGACAGTCTTGAACACACACCGTTCATTTAGTGGATGTGTGTGTGTGTGTGTGCACTGGCTGCAGGTTACGGCTGAAGTAGAAAACAGACTGTAACGTTACTAATGTAATCCTAAACTGACACCTGCATGGTAAATACAGACACCGTGAACGTAGAAAAGTAGAGGCAGCATTTACATTAAAGTAACTATACACACAGAAATATCAACGCTTCGCTTCTGTTTTCACTGAGTCTGCACAGGGATTAAGCAGCAGTGCATTTATTTTATACAATGTTCAGATCTTCAATCTGTGGATCACATGAGGCCCGAACTGTGGGATCCAAACGGATCAAGGATCAGCTGTGAGAAGTGAGAGGCCAAGAGTGGAGATAAAACGATGATATATGTGTATCAAAAGGATCGTTTTATATCTCAACCGAGCCTCAGAGGGAGAGAAGGAGAGAGAGATAGCATGAGCTGATGAGGTACACCTGTGGTAAATATCGCTCTGTGAGAAACTGTTAAAGGAATAGCAGATGAGTCTCAGAGACACAGTACCTGGCCAGTCTCTCAGTGAACAGGTGCACCCTGTGCTGCTCCTCTGGGTCATTGGGGTCAACCACCATCAGACAGTGGAAGTTACCATCACCCACATGGCCTGCTATGGGACCTGAAGGCACAATGAAAACAGTCACACATTAAAAACTTGTAAAAAGATGTTAATTTTACTCTTACATGACTCTTTATAACAAGCCAACAATGGACTTCAGATCATTCTGAAGTCATCTCTGCAGTCTGGCTCTTAAACAGAATCGAGAATGACATTCCAGTGCACTGCCCTTCTTTAACTTTATGTTTTTTTAATATGTTTTGTACATACCGGTACTTCTAAAGATACTTCTAAAAAGAAGTTAAAACCTGATATTATCACTTTTAACCTTAGCCTTAATCTTGTGACTTCAATCGTACAATTTTGTGTTGACACAAAGTTGTTATGCACAGAAAAAGGTAAATGGACTTCTGTAGCACTTTTACACTACATGTCATATTCACACACTGTTATTCCATTCACACACCGCCGGTGATGCAGCAGAAACAATTTGGGGTTAAGTGTTTTGCCCAAGGACAATTAAACATGGCTGCAGGAGCTGGACATCGAACCCCAACCCTCTGGTTAAGAACCAATCATCTCAACCACTGAGCCACAGCTACCCCACCCAATTTTACAATTCAATACACATTATAATTTAATTCTTTAAATTCTGATGTTAAACACTCATTTCATTTATTTCCCTTATTAGAGTTCCTTTCGCTTCAATCTCCAATGACAGTTAAATCCCTCAAAATAATATGTGAGAATCTTAATAACACTTTCACAGTTCATCTTCATTACGGAAAAATCAGCAACTTGGTTTTCTATGACAGAGGACTGTGTGATCTGAGGCCCGTTTCAGAAAGCCGGTTTAGTGCAAACACTGAGTCAGTTAACCCTGAAATGAGGGGAACTCTGGGTTTTTCCGTTTCAGAAGTGGGGGTCACTCACTCAAACCCAAGAAAGAGGGTTAACTCAAGCCCGTTCCAGAGACAGAGGTAGCTTTAGCTCTCAGTCAGTTACTATGGTAACTTCCTTGTACTTTGCCACTGCAGCAGTGCTACTTTTTTCTTCTTCTTAAAACCTGTTCATATTCCCTGTATGACCATGTGAAGATGTATATTTCAAGAGGGTTAAAGTAAGAGGACCTCTTTTTTTGTCACCTGTTGCCATGGTGAATCGTAGTATGGGGGGCTTCAATAATGTTGGATTTTTATAGTCGTGCTGCACGCTTTCAACTCTGAGTGAAACTACTCAGAGTGGATTAAATAAAATAAAATCAGCTGTTCTGGAACCTGAGGGTAAATCAACTCAGAGCTCAGGTTAGACTGAGAGTTTGTTGGACATGACTTAAGGTTTTTTTCAGTTCTGAGAATTTTTAAAATGGTATGAGAAGTGGGCCAAAGCAGCAATGAAAAACGTAATTTTAAAAACAGTCATACAACTGTATTCATCTTTGAATTTATTTATTTTAATAGGGACAATGCAATTTAACATAATTTCAATACAAAGCATGAAACTGATGTGCTGCATAAAGAGTATATAGCTATTGCTAATTTCCAACTCGTGTCCGCAGTTGGGCCTTTGTGTAAATAACCAGATTAAAAATGTACAACATTCGGTTACATAAAACCCCATAACACTACATGAAGATACATTAAAATACATGTACAACAATACAAATGCTATAAACCAGTTTAAAATAAAGTTTGAAGATACTATTTAAAAGTGGGTACAGCTCTGGCTTGCTTGAGCCAGCATTTCACCTTTTTTGTAAAAGATTTTAAGGTCATTTTATTTCAGGGTGTCAAGTGTTCCAGAGTTTACAGCCTTTAATGGAGAAGGCTGATTGACCAAACGTAGATCTACGGTGTTGTGCGCTACAGTTTCAGCTCACAGTGCTTCTTGTTACCCTGTTTCCGTCCTGTCTTTGAACATATCTGGAGAGGGGTTCAGGGGCCAGATTGTTGATACATTTAAACACAAGTTTGAGGAAACATAAATGCATAAAGCTCTCAAAACTGAGTAGATTGTGTTTATTCAGTATGTGACAGTGATGCCACCGGACAGGTTTTTTGTCCATTATTTTCAGGGCCTGGTTGTATAGTGATAAGAGGTTTCTGATTGTAAAGGGTGAAGCTGGTGACCAAACTGTCATACAGTATGAGAAATGAGAGAAAATCATTGAATGCATGAACACCTGTGCTGCTTGAGTTGGTACGTAGTGTCTTATTAGTTAAAGCAGTTCAGGTTGTTCTTGATTGTTTTTGTGATTTTATTTACGATTTCAGTTGTGGATCTAAAATGATTCTTAAGAACTTAAACTCACTAACTTCCTCTAGTCTGTATCTTAACGTTAAAACTTCCAGGTGAGCACTTTTTCCTAATGGAGAAACACATTGAAACTGTTTTACTCTGATTCAAAACAAGATGGTTGCATTCCAGCCACTGATTGACATGGTAAAGGTACTCAGTTAGGATCTCAGCTGCCTTGCTTGGTGACTTAGCAGGAGCATATATGATTGCATCATCTGCATAAAGCGGGAAGCCGGCTACTGGACAGGATTTCGGCAAATCATTTAAAAACAGACTGAAAAGCAAAGGGCCAAGAGTTGACCCTTGGGGAATACCCTTTATTGACCTCATGTGTATGAATGGGATAAGATTACTAATGCTCACTTTAAATAGCAACCACTGCCATCAGTGTGTGAAACGGTGACCTGCGTAGTAATAGCACTTTGAGTCGTCAGAAGAAGAAAAAACTAGAAAAGCACTATGCAAGCTCAAGTCCATTTACCAATTACCATTTTGATATTGAGTCTCAATGTGACACCATCACATTGATTTACTTTCTGTGTCCCCACCTGTGAGTTTGTTTTCAATCAGGTCCTCCTTAGTCTCCACTATGATTTGAGGCAGTCGTGACAGAGGGACACACACATCTGTAGCATAGGCCTGTGGGACACACACACACGCATACGCACGCACACGCACACACACGCACACGCACACGCACACACACACACGCACACACGCAAGGTCAAAGTATTGGAAGTGCTTGTTTTTTGCAATAACACTAAGATTTAAAACGTTCATAAAGTGAGACATAAAACAAAGCCTTTGAACCAAAGGCTGATTTAACTACTCTGCTGCTCACCATTAAAAGGGGAGACAATTAAACAGCGAGATCCAGTGAAGCTGAACCTTGACCTCAAATGTTATCGAGCTTTCCACTTCAGTCAAAGAGGGTTTGATGAACAAAGGAACATTCAAATGAACAAATTGAAATCTAGCTGAGCCAGTGCTCCTCTCTTACACTGCTCCCTGTGATCAATCATGTTAGGGACAATAACGTTCAAGTTGGAATGAAGTGGAGAGAGGGCTTCAATGCAACTGTTCACTGATGTAAATTGCATGCTTTGGGCCCGATTAACAAAAAGGATTGCACTGCTTTTGCTAAACCTGTGCAACTGAGATCCATGACGTCAATGCATAACCTGGTACATGCTGGCAGTAAACGTCATCATGTTTCATAAATGATCTGATCATATCCTCTGTGTTTCTTATATGTAGTCGTTTAATAAAATGTCTTGGGTGAGAAATAAACAGGTCAAAGTGTTGTAACAAAAGTGACTCTCCAGGAGCATCTCGCAGCTTCCTTTACTCTGAACAAATTTTATTATTTTCCATTTTAAGATTATTAGGTGTTGACAGGTATCTTAAGAACTCATTTTTGTTGGGGTTAAGATTCATCAGGTATTTTTTTGAATGCTGAAAGTATTTTGTAGAACTGTGAGTATTACCTCAGGTGAAGTGTCAGATGATTGTCTTTACCTTGCAGCCAGGTCTGAGAGCCATGGCAGCGTACCAGGCGTCATGACGAGCTTTCCACAAGCGGTTCCGTGTTTCTGCATCTGTAGCCCACTGAAAATCTGCCCCACCGTTACTCTGAGTGATTTCCTCTGTACAACAAACACAGTAAAAATATAACTGTTCATTTGTTAACTTTGTTCTTATATGTTTCATTCAAGTTGGTAGTTACTGAGGTTAGCCAATACCTTTCATATGTTTGATGCCTGCTGTACTTAGGATACAAAGAAACAGTTATGGAGTGTCCATCTTTACATATTTTTGTGTCAGCAACAACTTGAAGCATTTTTTAAATGTTCACTGACAAAAAAGGAATTTTCAATCAAGGCCATGCTTGATTTTTCTCAGGAGGATTTAGAATTTAGCCCGCCCAGCGTCCACTTAGCGTTTTTTTCCAGGCATAGCTTTTCTCTAGTGCTTGGATGAAGCGTTTATGCGCTGAGTAGAAAATCGCTTCACGTCTGTCCTGTCTCTATGACAACCGACACTGCTCCGTGTTGCTTTTTACTGTATGTTTTATAGTTGAGATCATTTTTACCCCAGCAGACTTGGAGCAAATAGGATGTGGGTAAAAGACACAATGTAGGAGGAGGAGGCAAAATACAGGCAATCTCATTTCCACATATGGTGATGTCAACGGCGCTTTTTGAAAAGTTGAAAGATTTTCAACCGAGCTCTCGCAGTGACCGCACAAAAAAGGCTGAGCGCTCGGAAAAAAGAGCTGAGCTTTTTCCCAGGTCAGTCGCCTGCTGCTGCACAAAAAAACGCTAGGTGGACATAGAGCCTTAGGGTTACGCCAAACTGTTGATGTCAATACAAAGACTTTCAGTTTACCAAGTTGTCATCTAATGCTTAAATAGATTTGGAAAAAATAGTCGTAGATGTCTTTTGGTTGTGTGTGCATCTGTTAGACTTATCCTTTAGATATTAGCCCATGTGCTCCCTTTTTTAACACGGTCTCCTTGTGAGTAACATAGTTTGTGATGCTATGGGGGGGGTAAGTCATTGCTGTGTCTGAGTAAAGAAAAGTAACAGGATGTAAAAGCACATGATTTCAACAGGTTTTTAGAAGTGTGTCCACATTAGCTCATGTTTGAATCTGGCAGTTTGGAGAAGGGTTGTGTATTGTCTACTCTGCACAGAGTGAATAAAGCACCTGTTACACGCAAAGTTAGCACAACGTTCAAGTTTTTTTTGTTTTTGTTTTTGCTCTCCATGTAATTCATACACACCGGTTGTGTTGACCTGCTCCTCGAGGCTTCGCTCTGAGCCGTGGAACTCCAGGAACAGAGTCGGGGTCACGGGGTAGGATAGAGAGCTGAACCTGTTACACGCATCAATCATCACATCATCCAGAAACTCTGGATCACACACACACACACACACACACACACACACACACACACACACACACACACACACACAGACACACACACACACACACACACACACACACACACACACACACACACACACACACACACACACACACACACACACACACACACACAGAGTCAAAACACAAATATCAGTGTGATGAATCTAAAAAGGTCAGTCTGTCCCTCTTCTGTTTGAAGATCAATGACATATTTTCAAGACACTATTATTGTAATTATATTGATTCAATTTTAAAAGCTCATTTCATGACACATTTCTCACTCCTGTATTGTATAATCCTCCAGCCTGCTTGCCCAGTACTTTCTAAGAGATCAATAACGTTTATCTCTTCTTTGTTTTGTCAAAGTTATGATTAACATGTGGGTCAGACTTTTCTGAAACGCCTGAAGATAACTTTGCAGTTCGTTTATATTTAATAGCCTCTTCAGTCTCGACCACATACTGTGTGTAAGAGTCATGATCAGAATCGTGATCTGAAGAGATGTCGACAGCTTTGTACAACACAGTTGGATTTCATTTTTGAAATATGTGAAATAGTCTTTGTACATCTGAGAAAGACAAAAGCTGCATAGACTCGGCTGTTAATGTCTTCACTGGTAAGATGCTATCTTAAGTTAAAATATGAGTCAATGAAACCGACCGTTATCTCTTTATGACAACGCTGGGGACATTCATAGACAGCGGATCCATTTATACATCACCTTTTTTTTTACACAATTTAAGGAATTAAATCATATATCATGATCTAACAATAATTTACATTACAGTATAAAACTTAAAGGACCTCCTAATGTTGTGTTATCACTCTGGATGTGGCTCTGGCTAAAGAATTGGGATAAACATGTATGGTGGCTGTATAAGGTCAAACTGGCATATTGACTGAAGCCTTGCTTAACCAGATTAAGCATGGGAATGTTGATATTAACCTGCATGGAGAACTGAAAACAGATTACACCAGCTACTTGTAGATCATTTAACCCTGAGGCATCAGTTTAATTTACTACCCTCTTAAGTCACTAACGACAAAATGTCCACTTCCAAAAAAACTGCTATAAAAATAGAACAGATGAATATTTTTTTCTACTTTTTTTGCATAAATCACTTAAACAACTCCAGCCCTGCCGGACTAACACAGCCAAAAATGATGGCCAGATAAAGAGGATGTCCATAGTGATGCAAGACGGTTTAAATCAAGCTAATTTTGGACTGTTTCCTGAGTGTCTTCTTACCTTTAGATAGTTGGTAAATTCCTGTTTTAACGACTAGGAAATTAGTTGCCTAAGAACATCATAGTTATCACCAATTCCTTTGTATTGTTGCATATACGTTCTGATGTTCACTGACATAAAACACATTAAAGAACATATAATGTATTAAACAATGTTCAAGAAAAGCCATAAACCGGTTCATACATTGTTTCTCCAGCAGACTCATGGTGAATAACACTGTCAGCACTGTCTGCTGCTCATGTAGCTGAACGTCATAGTGGAGACAGTGGTCTGAACTATAACTTGACATTATGTGTAAAATGTGTAACAATTGTTACATTATCTTGAATACAATTATTTTCTCTAAGACATCAGCTCTTACTACCTTTACCTGGTCACGTTGGTTAAAAATGTGAGCACTGGAAAAGTTAAAATGGACTTTAAAAAGTCACTGTGTTGTCTATCAAAAGGGCGGCTGTGGCTCAGTGGTAGAGTCAGTCTTCTCTAAATGGGAAGTTAGGGGTACGATTCCTCAGCTCCTGCAGCTATATGTCGATGTGTCCTTGGGCAAGACACTTAACCACAAATTGCTCCCGCTGCTTCGTCAGCAGCGTGTGAATGAAATCAGTTAAAACTGATGGACACTTTGCATAGCAGCCTCTGCCATCAGTGTGTCGGTCGAATGGTAAGTGTGTGCACTTTGAGTAGTTAGAAGACTAGAAAAGCGCTAAACAAGCTCCAAGTTTACGATAGCTGTAACTGGTGAATGTTTCCTGTCTTCATTTGGGAACGGTTTGAGACTCAAAAATCTCATATTGGTCTGGTTTAAAATAATTGAATACTAACAAAGTATCTTAGCTTGATTGAGACCTGGTTTGTTATAATAAGTAGACTGCTGCTTCTGCCCACTAAAGGGTTTAACATAGACAAACCACTGGATGTCTTTTATTATGAAGCAACTGCAAATGTATTAGAAAGAATCAACCAACAACCAAATATATTTAAACATATTGACTGTAGAACAGAAGATATACAGTTAAGGTAAGTGTTTTAGGCATCATCTTCTCACCAATACGAGCGATGGGAACTCCTGCCTGTAGAACCTGCACTGTGCTGTCCACAGCAGACTGGATGGAGGGGAAAGAGCAGACAGCCGACACCATGGCTTCAGGGATGCCATACAGGCGTAGCGTCGTCTTGGTGATAATCCCCAGAGTTCCCTCTGACCCAACAAACAGATTTGTCAGATTGTAGCCAGCTGATGTCTTCCTACAGATTGATAAACACAGAAAAGGGAGGCATTTAAGCTGCAATGGGCTCTGTTGTATGTTTTTTGGGTGCTAATAGCTTATGCTGTACCTGGGACGCCGGCCCTTCCCTGCTGTGTGTATGATGGTCCCATCAGGCAGCACGACCTCCAGGTTTAAAACGTTCTCCCTCATCGTTCCATAACGCACTGCATTTGTTCCAGAAGCACTGGTTGCAGCCATACCACACAGAGACGCATCAGCCCCAGGATCTGAGACACAAAACACATCACTTAAGCTTCATCAATCATTCAAAAAAATGATAAAATAAATAAAAATAGAAACTGCTTGACCTTTCCAAGAATCAGTCAGTCAGTCAGTTTGAAACCTGTGGGTTTGTGTTTTTGTTAACGTGACAGAAATGGAGACTTTTGGAAACAATTTGTCAATCAACTAGATAAATGCACTTGAATGAAAAAAATAAAACTTGGCCCAAGCTTGATTTTGCCCCTTTTCATAATGAATAACTTATAGACTTAGAACAGACAGATTCTGCTGACTGTGTTGTTTATGTTGCTGCTGATGCATACACGTGCAGGATGCTAGCTAATATTCAAGCCCCTGTGTTTCTGGTATCAGCCTTTAAGAGTTTTTATTAGATGGACAAGTGCCATAGCTCAAGATTTAATTAATAGCACGACACAGATAATACGATAATGTCTTTTTTTTTTTTTTTTTTCAATTTGCAATCTAAATTGACAAAAGCGCAAATATTCTAAGTGACTTGCTGTCAGTCAATGGATCAAATTCAGTGTTTAACTCCGCTAACTCCTCTAAGCAAATCAAGCACTCCCATTGGATGAATCTGCATTTACAATTTCCTTACAATTGATGTCATTCTCGAAAGCCGGTGTTCCTCTCTGTGTGCTAAACTAAACTAAAGAAACAGAGGAAACCAATAAACAACGGAACTGACCGACAGGAAACCAAAGGCCGGTGCCACGTAGGTAGGCATTGAGGGCCTTCCGTGTCACACCAGGCTCCACCGTCACGTCGAAGTCTTCCTGGTGAAGATCCAGAACCTGGTCCATGTTCCTCAGACTGAAACACACACCCCCCTAAAGAAGGAGACACAATACATACATTCTTACACACAAATAAACATTGTACAAAAAATGTCCCATGTAGTTATGACCTAGAAGAGAACCATCAGCTGTATGTGCAGCTCCTCGCAGAGTGCCTCCCACCATTGATTTTGCTGTTGTTGCAAGGTCCACAGCTTCACTCTAGTTAATGTTCTTGACTCTCTCAGAAGATGAAAAAGGGGGCTCTCGAAGGCCAATCTATAAAAACTACTGTGAACGATTTGTTTTTTAAAATGTATAACTTCATATTATCATTGTCATGTGTTTATAGCGTGTCTCTAAAAGGTCAAAATTACAGTTTATTTAAACTTCTTTGTCCCAGAAAAGATTGCTTACTGCATGTGTCTGCTTGTGAGTGTAACTACAACGTCAGAAACCTTTCTTCCTTTGTGTGGACTTCAGCTCTGAGAGATGTTTTTGACTTTGCAGTGAAGATAAAGCACACAATGAAAAACTCATTTTCTGTCCTACTTTGAATGTAGCGATAAGATTCTCTCCCAGCTGCAGAAAAGGTCAACAAACTGTTTGTGTGTCTGTCTTTGTGCTAGAAATTGGTACATATATCCCTTATTCAAATATGACAAAAGACATTTTTATTTCAGATTTTCACGACACTGCGCAGCACCAAACACAGCAGACAGACACAGTAAGTAGCTAGCGGGTGAACAGAGACAGGCTTTCAGCAGCTTAACAGAAAGGCTGAAAGAATATTGGATCTCTAGCTCTAAGGTATCTAAAAGCTTGACTACAAAAATGATAATGTTGCTCTGAACTAAAAAAGTGTAAATAGGTAGTTAGATAATCCCTGTATAAACTTAAAAATAAAAATCTCAGCTCCCCCTAAAATAACCATTGTTTAAAGCTGTTTAAAATCAGTTTGATTAACATTGATCTACATAAATAAACAAGCACATGGCTGCCTCTCTCTCTCACCTTAACCGCTCCAACCCCTCCTTCCAGGCCAGTTCCAGTGCCAAAGGGGATGATGGGAAGTTTGTGGCTGTGGCAGACCTTAGCCAGGGCGCTGACCTCCTCCACAGATCGAGGAAACACCACCACATCTGGGGGACGACATCTGGAAAGCAGTAATGCAACTCTCTTACTCACGTGTCCTCCAAGTGCAATTCATTAACAGCTCGGGAGGAAATCATCTGATTTCTAGTCATGTTCAGTTGTAAAGGGATCAACCATCTCCAGGCATCGAATTCTACCTGTGCCATCCTGGTGAATGATGTGAGTAAACGTCTCTGAGCAAATAATGTCTCACAAGCAGGCTAGACTGAATCTTTATGAAACTGATCAAATATGTACATCCTTAACCCTTAAACTGTTCCTTTATAGCAGTATGAATCAGTATGTTTATGTTTATAGTCCTATATAAAGCTAATAGAGTCAACAGTTAGACTGCAAGTACAATCCTTTTTGTGTGCAAACTCACACAACTATCTACTACTCAGGGATAAATACAATCCTTTATTGTGTGAATATATAGATACGCCCTAACACTGCAATTTCAATAATGTTTGTTTCTGTGACAACGAGAGAAACTGACCTGTGCACAGACTCATCTTTGCCGTGCTGCTCTCTGACAGCGTCACTCAATGAGACGCCGTCTTCACCACATATAGACCTGAATTTTAAGAGCACACTGTCCACAGCAGCACTCTACACACACACACACACACACACACACACACACACACACACACACACACACACACACACACACACACACACACACACACACACACACACACACACACACACACACACACACACAGAGCGAGTCATTACACAACAGTTAGTGATAAAATGTAATATTTGACATTGTACACTTGGGTGGATCATTATACTCGGGTGGATGGATAATTATAATGGATATTTTCTCACAAACACTTGAAGGAATCTTGGTGTTCATGGGTTACTTTTTTCTATCAGAAAGGTATCCTTAAATGACTTCTTTCCCTGATTTCGACCTCTCTATCCACCATCCTATCTCTACAATAAAGGCACAAAAAGCCCAAAATTAAATCTTAAAAAAAACCTTCAAGGGGGGGGGGGGCGCTGCCTGCTGATCAACAAAAGCACCAACAATTAGCTTATAGACTTCATCTCTAAATCCTTAAAAGATAATTGGCCCCTTCTTCATCATTTTCTATACAGTATGAATATGGAGATCACACCAAGCAATTTTGCTATCTGAGAGAATCTTATTTAGAAGACTGGCTGTAGGCTATATCTCTTCATAGGCTATATTATACAAACACTGACAGACGATTTTATGTTATTATATTCATACTGTCCTTCATTCTGTAGCTGACCTCTTAACCACACTTTGTGCTCCATGTAAATTACTTCTATCATTAACGCTATTGTGAGTTTGTGAGGGTAATATTGCTGTTTGATATTTAAACATCTTATAGGCTATTACAAATGTTGTATTGGCCGGGAGTCGAACCCTCGCCGGAACCTTATGTTGCATTCAAGTGCTACTCGGATGGTCCCAGTTTCCGAGTTAGGAAGTTGTGTTCAGGTGCTTTCAATTCGTGAAAATGTTGTAGAAACAACAAAAAAACCCAACATGGACGGTAAAAATGTGTATTCCACACATCTTTTTCGTATTAAGATAGTCTTTTTCGTATTAAGATAGTTTAAACTAAAAAGGTTGATGTAGGCTACAATACGTGAATTGATAAGACGTTTGTAACCACTAACACAACATCTTTCGCCCGACTTCTTGATGCGGAATATGATTTCGGGCATTATCATATAATTTCCCTAGTTTCCTTTCCGTCTTGAGCAGGCGTTCATTACATTTTCAAACTCGGAAAGTAATTTTTCCGATGGGTCCGACACCACTTAAATGCAGCAATTACTACCGTATTTAATTTGCGAGGGTAATTATGACCCTCAGTTAAGGCCTCGCAGGTACTCTTCTGCATTTTATGCCCATCTGACCTACCGCCTGTAGAACGCAGGTGTATACCTTTAAGACAAATTCGGCAGGTCACATGACCCTTTCTCTCTTGCATTGGTGGTTCAGTGGTAGAATTCTCGCCTGCCACGCGGGAGGCCCGGGTTCGATTCCCGGCCAATGCAATTACAACTTTTTTTCTTTTTTTTTTCTTTCTGTTTTACACATAATGTCAAGTGCAGAATAAGTCTAAGCAGCGACTTCACTACAATACTGGCAGTACAGAATATTACCACAATAATTCATACTTATTTGCATTCATTACGCATGCCTTGTTACTATGTCTTTGGCTCTATGAACTCCAGCTACTTCATCTAACCAAAATCAACCCTTCGACCGGTGGCTGATGTTGCTGCACTTTGTTTATTCGTCCGCTTAACATGTGACCTGTAGGCTACTGCAACATTAAAACAACACACATGTTGTAACCTTTCATCACTTACTCTGGCGGTCGTTTCTGATTTAATGTTCCGACGGTGCAGCATGCAGTGCCCATGAGAGAGCACTCGTCGGCTGGCTGTCAAGCCAAGCAACATTGTTTACCTTGAGTGTACCGGACAATGTTACTGACTGGCCAAGACGTCATAAACGACATCAATGAAGACATGACTTCCGGTAAATCATTTTCAGAGTAAAACTGCTAAAGAATCACAGCAACGCCTTACAATAAGCCATTGCACAGAAAAAGATCATTGGCAGCAATCAATTGCTTAATAATTGCATGATAATTGTTTAAAATAGTCGTATTATCATGTTGCTGTAGCCTAGTCACTCCCACATCACTCGTTTAGATGTTGCGGTGCTCCTTCATCAACTCCTAACTTCTTCATGTTATTACTTTACATCAAATCTGTGAATTAAATATTCAAAAACGAACTAAACTATAAACAAGCTTTACATGTTTTTAAATATACTGTATCCTATCAACAAAGATGCATGGATTAATACAACCTGATTCTTTTTTGAACCAGCAGCATTTCCACTGTTCTTATAGTCACCTGGACAATATTTCTGAAGTTAGAGTTATCGGCCTATTTGTTTCTATTATAGGTGAAATACTGATACATGCATATATTCCCATTATATATAAGCTACATTGTTATTGTCATTTAAAAATGATTTTCTGCTCTTATGTTGCTCATTTTCAGTTCTGAAGCAGGAGTTCTGACTGTGAAAGATACGTCACCTGTTTCCACTGTTTGGGCTCAAGGTAAATTATAGAATCTAGTTAGAATATTGAATATATGAATAAAATATGAATAAAAGCCTTAATTCAGTTAAAAAATCACATTAAAGACGTTCAGGACGAAGCCCATTGAGCTGACGTGATTCTTAACTGTAGTTTGCCTATTTAATTTATTGATGTCATTACAATGCATTGTGTCAAGACATATTTCATTGAAGTTTGGAATTCTTCAATAAATAATTTGACCCTAGCCTACCTTGTCATGCCTTAAGGTTTGTCTGTCTGTTCACTTTTTAGGACTATTGTTTTGTATTTATTTTGAAGTAAACCTCACATGTCTCCGGACATGCTTCAGCTGAAGCCGGTGTACTTAACGCAGATTAAATCAGGGTGAATGACGTAATGCCTCTGTTCTGTCAGGCGGTGGCGCTGCAAGCCAAATTAAAAAAAAAAAAAAAAAAAGGTGTCAGGCTGCAGGCTTCAAGTGGGAAATTGTGAAGGTTTGGTTACAGGTAGCTGCAAGCTGGGACGCTTTTCTTCTCTTGTCTGTGACTCAGCTGTTTTCAAATCTACTGAGACGTAAAGTAAGTTCACAGTCCACACTGTAAACTAATGTCTCGGATGAATGGAAATGTTTTCCCAGTCTGTGGTAGGTTTACTTAACACATATTAGCACCGCTAAGTTAGCCACTTGGCTGCTTTAAGTGATTTTAATGCTGCCGGTGTTTCGGCTTCTCTGTGGTTGTAGTTACTGAAGTTAACACTTGTTTTAAACGGGGGAAGGTCCTCGCAAAGTTGTTGAGTTTTCATTGTAGTTTTCATGGGTCATAATAATTGTTGTCAATACGAGGACAACCACAGACAGTCTCCCTGAACACCCGCTGACATTAGCCCATAAGCAACAGTTCACTGAATTTAAGTAGGCCTATGTATAACTCTGGATGGACTTGAAGACCTCTGATCAATAGTTCAGGTATTTAATATTAAACTAAGGTCTGGTTCCATTTCGTAAAACAATCGAAACTCACGTGCCATGTTATTACAAGGAACTAACAAAGTCTAAAAGATCATAACTCGTCCTGTATGTTTTTAATGTTCCTACAAGGAATGTTACTCGTGTCATAATTTATAGTCCTTGTCTGGCAAGGTCAACTGCTCAGTATGGAGAGAACTGGAAAGATGTATTTTGTGTTTCTCATGGAAGCCCTGATAACAAAGCCCACTGGTGTCATTACCTTCATGAAATCAAGATACACATTTCAAACTTTATTAAAGATTTCAATCAGTTGTAAATGTCTTAAAGCTGTTCTGTTTTACAGGCCATGTACCCTGTGGACCTTCCAGCCGTGGATGATCCTGACCTGACATCAGCATCCGAACAGTTCATCTCTTCTTTGGAGTCAGGGATGAGAAATAATGAGTGGTTCCAGTCGTCAGACAAAACCAAGGTACAGAATTTAGACTGTTGTTGCCTCTTGTTTTGATTGCTGTTCAAAATGAGAATGGTTGAGGCAATTGTGCAAATGTCTAATGGAATTATGGACAGCAGTATGTGTTTGCTGAAAAAACAAAGGTATGTTTTTTTTTTTTTTTTTGTTTTAGAGAAAAGAGCAAGGTGTTTGTAACCACACTGGCATGTTCCGGTCAGGAGTGTGGATGAAGTGCATAAAGTTTTCTTCCTGTCTGCTCAGGTAGCAATAACCGCAAAAAATGTAAGGCGGTTGCATCTGTTTGAAGTTGTCCCACCTCACTGTACACTGTTGGCGCTTCACCGTCCTAATGATCCAACCCAAGGTTTGGAAGAAATCACAATGCCATTAGAAGAAGACAACAGGAGCCATGTGAGACAGAGACTTTAATGCTTTCTGCTCTTCTTTTCCAGTGGTGGCTTTATACCTGCATGAGAGATGGTGGAGTGTGGACGACGTCTTACATACTGCCAGAAAATCCAGAAGAGGCTTGATGCTGGTAACTGTGTTTTCTTACATCTATCTGTTTGTATTTCAGTGTCCCCGCAGCACAGTGATGAACAGATCGAACCTGTTTCTTTTTTTTATCATTTTAGCTTATAAAGTGTCAGGAAATAGGGACGCAGAATAGCTGCATGACAGTAACAACAGAATCCTCTTCAACATGTTTGACTGACATTCAAGTTAAACCTGCTTCTCCTATTTTGCTGCAGGGACTGAATGCTTCTAAAAACATGTTTTATTTAAGTGCACTGTGAGCATGATAGTCTTTTCTGTATTCCTGTGAATGCTCAAACGAACAGCTCTGTTTCTGCTCTTCTGTTATTTAACTCTTTAACTGTTCTACCCTTCCTCTTTGCTGCTTTAACACTGCAAATGTCCCCGTTGTGGGATAAATAATGGTTCATCCTTTTTCTTATCATATCTTCTCTCAGGTTCAGCCACTTCCACAACTTTTAAGTCATGTTCTTGTCAGAACTAAATATCTTTTCAGCAACAAAGTCACCATTTACTTTAATAGGAAACCATAGTTTGTACAGGAAAGAATATAATGAATACAGTGTACAGTACAGTGCATGAATACAACTGAATTTAGATCATATCACTTAATTCAAACATAATAGAAAACACTTCTTGTATTCACTCTTTTTCTTTTTGACCGACACTGTGTGCTTCTTTGCTCCGTTGTTTTGTTTCCTTTCATCAACCCTTGGTAAGGTTCCTAAGGCGGCATGTTTTCCACAGGTGGAGTCGATTATGGAGAGGGTGATCGTGTTCCTGCTCAGTCAGGTGGTGGAGAGGTCCTCACAGGAGGAGGTGCTGTTCTCCCTGCACCCTCGCTCAGAGAGCTGCAAAGTGCTGTGGAGGGACGGCCAGGCAGTCGGCTTCTACACTGTCAAACACAAAGGTAGGTCGAGGGAAGAGAGTGAGACAGAGGGCGAGTTTCCAACATTGTTTATTGTTTCCTCATGACGTTGGATTTGTCTCCTGTTGATTCTACACAAACAGCACACCGCAAAACATCAACTTTGGCGTGAATTACTTGAGCAGTATTATTCGTAACAATCAAACAATTAAGCTGTTTTCATAAACACATATGAAGGTGATTTGAATGTTTATGCCATTGATGTAGAATTTATTGTCCTACGTGAAGGGATTCTGAAGGGTACGTTTAGTACCACGAGTTTGTGACCCCCTGAAGTTTGAGACATCTTTTTCCCCATGTTCCAAATAAAGTCCTTCATTTCTTTTTGCATTCAAAGCAGAATAACACACCTGAATCATCCAACTGAATCGACTTAGGCCAGCTTTTGACTTAAAGACTTTTCAAGATTTCACTGTTGGAGACAAATTAACCAACCACCTGTTATGTGAGCTGGACATAACACAGTATGAGTTCCTTAGTATCTTGAAGCACAGAAGAAATGTATCTTTCGTTAAATTATGGGAAGATTTTAGCTTCGGCTCCTGCAACAGATAAAAGAAATGATGTGTAAATCCCAACAACCAGCACTTGCATCCTCCAGAACATAACAGGGTGCAGCAAACCGGGTAGATAGGAAACCTGGATTCTGGAGAAGTGAAGGTACTGCACAAAACGATTGGCTGATGTCCCTGTGTCTCACTCAGTGTGACTGGATGGTCAGATGATGGTCTGCTGCTAAGACCTGCTGTTAGCACGACGGCCATCAGCTCAAGTCATCTGTTGACTATTTGAATTAGGGAGGAAGAATACACCTCACTGTCTTCCTGCTTTTTAGTTAAGCCAACCCAGCTATCGATACAGCCTCAAACTTAGATTTATAATGGAAACCATTGAACACAGGAATTCTATGTGCCATTTATTCAGCCCTGCAAAACGTTATGGGGTCCTGAGCGGGCACCCTCTTCTCCAATAACCCCCGCGCTGCAGCACGTGTATTGCAGTGGGGTCAGACATGGGCGGGGCTGGACAGCAGATGGGCGTGGTCAGACGTGTAGACAAACATGACTGTTATCTGCTAGAAAAGTCGAAGAAGTACAAATATGATGCTGTTCTTTGAAGAACTTCCTTATTGGGTGCAAGGATTACAATTAAAAACCTGTTTTGCGACGTAGACTAAAATATATCAATTCATTTGATGGCTTTTTTTGTAATCTATTTTATTTAGTCACTTAGTTCATTACTATAAAAAAATGTCCACTATCTGATTCCAAAGGGGTATGTCATCCTTCTTCTCTTATTTCAGGTAGCCTGTGTGACAGCTGGAGCGGTTGCTGCTACCTGCTGCCTGTTCTGGACACAATTCTGGTGAGGAGGAGCTTCAGGAGAAGAGGCTTTGGTCTTCAGATGCTCGAGGATTTCTGCTCCACGTTCCCTTCAGAGACGTTTCTGGGAGTCAGCTCTCCTTTATCGTCCAGCATGGTGGCAGGTTAGCGAGGTTTCTGAAGTTGTTCTGTCCAGCTGTGGCATATAAATCTAAATTCTCTCAGCATCCCTTTGAAGGTGGCCGTGTCATTCTTCTCCAACCTTCCCTCCCTTTTTTTTTTTTTTTTTTTTTTATAAAGAGCTGACTTTATTGTCCACTGATGGAGCAGGTTTTGTGTGTTAAGTTTGCAGACGGTTCCTGCAGCATCAGGAGGAACATCAGGAGCATCTGTATGAGGTGGAGGCTCCAGGAGGTTGGGCTCAACGAAGAAACATCTGGCTCAACATCCAGCTGGGCCGCTACTGCCCCAGTAAAGATGATATTTAGCTTTTATGTGTTTAGATGTTTGAGATTTACATTTTTAACGTCATACTTCAAACCAACAGAGCTTCTCTATGTTTCCAATTTTGTTCAATTCATCTATACTTAACATTCACATCTGTTTTATCTGAACTATCGTTACACTAGGTAAAAATGGAAAGAGAAGAACAACTCAGAGTACTGAGGGGGATGATTCCATTCAGAAGGTGAGAATCTCAATTTTTCCCAAAATGCTGTTTGTTTAAAGCAGCTTGTATTTAGACACTTTACACTACTTGTTACTGTCGTTCACTTCCTCCAAATATAAAGAGACTGAATTTTTACAGGTCGACTTCAAGTACTAAATCTGTTCTTAAAAAGGCAGTGATTTAATTTGAACGTGTGAAGACCTGAACACAGTGCGACCCCCAAGTGACGCTGTGCTCATGAATGGTGTACACACTCCTTCAGACAGTGCAGTTACTATCGGCCGTGAAAAGCTTACACTGTCGACCCCTACTCTTAACCATTTACCCCGAAAAAATAACTGTTTTGGGGGAGTCTAGAGCTTTGTTGAGGCTACTGCACCCTTTTTTTAAAAGTCAGTTATTATTAACTGGGGTCACAATGACAATAATTTAGATCAGATTCTCAGACCTTTGCACCTGCAATGCGTGTATAGACTTCAAAGCTGCATCATTCCAACCAGTCCTTAAAGTGCTTAAACGTCTCACAGTGTATTTGTTTTGGAATGCAGACCTACACTTGTGGAACAGACCCGACCTCAGAGAGCACATTGGCTGTGAACAGTCCACTGGTGAACATCTCTTTGGAACAACGAAGTGAACTTTGTGATCAAAGTCAGAGAGGAGCCTCCCCAAGTAGCAAGACCTCTGGAACAGGATGTAACCCTGCAGCCTACGCTGAAGATCTGGACTCTGGAGTCCCTTCCACACCAGCACGGTCCCTTAACACAAAACAAGCCCTGATATCCAAGCCCTCGCTTTCCTCAGAACCTCACAGAGAGGAGCCAGAGGGGGAGGAGACACAGAGAGGGGCCAAACGAGTTAGAAGGACATGACCTACTGTACATCAGAGTATGCAGTATGGGGACTGTTCATGCAGGTTGATTGATGCTAAAACTTAAGTGACTTTAATACTGTATTTATGGAATAAATGTACAGTTATCCTTTACAGACTGTCTTATCAATAAATAATAAGTACAGTTTGATAAAAGTATTATCACAGAGCATGTCATAAACAGTTTACACTGTAAAATACAATATGAACAAATCACTGTCAATGTACTGTTGGCTTTCTTCATGCTTTCTTCATGCTTTCTTCATGCTTTCTTCATGCATTCCCTGCGGTGCTACGCCCACTTAAGCAGGTGTTTAAAAAGAAAGGAAAACATCTGTGTGTTAGGAGTGGAACGTATAAAATGGGGAAGCAGCCCTGCATATTTCGATGTATTAAAGTCTACATAAAGGGTCACTGGGTGGTTTCAAATGTCCCTGAGCACTTAAATAAATATCAGGTATTACCTTTATTTTGTATTTCTTGCAGAGTGTATACTTTTATTTCTGTTTGGTAAATATGAACAGCCAGCAGCAAATACATTCAACCTGTGAGCTGGAAATGAATGAAGGTTAAAGGGTTCTTTCAGATTCGTTGAAGTGGAGGATGTGAGTCACTGAAAGTATTTATTTAGTTAAATAACCTGAATTTAATGAAGGTTTGCTCTATGCTTTTTCAGAGGAGATTCTGTGCTGATAGACATAGTCTATACTTTGTATCATCTGTAGTCAACCTAAATGATGTGTATAGTAGCTACATAGACAGGGGTGAAAAATAAAAGGGAAACATGTTCATTTTGAAGGTAACAGATTAGTACACACGGATAGGGGAAAGTCTGGGCTTTCAGATATGTGAATGAACAAACAGGACATGGACTTCTGCTCCTCATAGTAAGGACCTTGATTTCGCAAACGACAGAGAAAACAAAGAAAATGCAAAATTGAGTAAAGTGAAGGGATTGGCTTAATTGGCTTTGTTCACTCTGTTCTATCATTCCTGTTGTAACATGTAGTTTCGTGGCATCCTGCCTAACAAAGCTTTTGTTTCATGTTCACAGTTGTTTCACTTTTAAAAAAGATCTTCAGATACGAACATGAAGGCACATTTGATTCAAATGACAGCTAGTGCTGATAGTTAAATTGTGACAAACACAAAACTTAAACAGAAAGAACAATCTGATTAAAGTGTGAGAGTCTTAATGAAGTAAACAAATCCAATAACGCAGCACGATTTGGGCATGTTTCTTTTCGGCATGTATTGAAGAGATTTTGCAAACAGAGTTCACTCTTCTACCCGTGGATGAAGGTTTGCCCTTTAAATATATGTCGATAAATAAAATGTTAACCTAACAAATCTTAACCTTTTTCATTCATTAATACTCCAGGCTTAATTGACATAACATTTATAGAATGCAACTATTCCTATAATATGTTAGGAATGCGAAAAGCTCAGAAATCCAAGAAAAACCCTGTAGAAGTTCACAATGGAAGACAATATGTTTCCAGACTCAATACCACTCTCATAAAATCCACATACGTTGCCTTTAAAGCTTTGCAGGATGAAAAACCTGCAGACGAGGATTCAATAAGAATAAAACACCATGTGTGCGCAGGAGGATTATAGAGGCAAACATTCACTTTAAACTTTCTTTCGCATATATGAGTAGGCCTACGTTAAAAACTAAGAATGACTTCGTCAATAATAACATGTGGTTTTATTCCTTTATTTTCCTTGCTTGAAAAGTTCCACCGGCACGTCCTTGTCTCTGAATCGAGCGCACCTCTGACGCGCAGCTGCACATAGGAACAGGAAGTAAGGAAACAAGACTAATCTCGGAGAAGGGAGAACTTACACAGTAAAGTTGATGTAAAATGAGCCGAATCTATAATAACACGTTATTGCAGAACAAACCTGTGCACAATGAAACATGTGGCCGCGCGTTTTCTCCCTCCACGTATGAAAGGTAAGGAGGTAGGATACGAGTTCCAACAGCAGCAGCTCTGCTTGTATACTTTTTTCTTTTGACAACCAAAAGAAAATCTGATGTCTTTTACTGTCCAAAATTTAAAAAAACAAAAAAACAAGCAGATCCAGTTTAAACTGAAACATTGCGTCAGAATTGTTTTGTTTGTTTGTTTATTTTTGTTATGGGTAAAAAGTGAATCCCAGCCAACATTTAATCCACCTAAAAGTGCAAACAGTGGGGAGGCTGCTAGTTAACGCCCTCTATCGCAGCTTGCAGAACTGTTTATGATAATGGTGTGCCTTATGACTTTTTTTTCCTATTTTATTTGTCACATTAAAATCTGCAAAACATTTGGTACACCCTAGGTTTTATTTGGCTTACAATTGTTGCCGTCAGGATTCTAAATCAATAGCATAAGGGAGACATAATTCTCTTTTTTATGTCTTTGGGTGTGGACAAGTGGTCACACTCTTCAATACATCTGTTGGGCAGAAGGGAGGTTGGTCATTACAATGTTGTGATAGCAGTTCAGTGTTAGTCATTTGCAGTTTGTATGAGCATCTGTGGATTTAATAATACTGCTCAAAACAAATTATAATCATGCATCCATACTAAACTTGTTTGAGAAAATTGTCACTGTTATTGTGACACTATTACTAACAAGTGTTCTTTAGGGGATGGTTTTAATATGTAACCAGATGAGTACTGCTTCAACAGTATAAACATTTATAAAGAAATAAATATGGGGGGGGAAAGCCAGTGGGATATCCAGATCCAGAATAGATAAGCTGGTTTCTCTAGAAATGACTAAGTTTAACATATTCAGTATCTCTCTTAAAGGAACAACAATCTCTTTTTTTTTTGCTCCCATAAAAGCAACAACATGCAGTTAAAGGTGGAAATAGCTTTATTTTGATATTTGACGTTTTTCTTCTGCACAGTGGTCAGGGGGTCCTCCTCGAGGGAAAGCTGATCGATATTTCCAGACATTCAATCAGTGATGACAGCAATCAAAAGGTAAAGTAGGGAAAATTCAGCCAGGATATTCCTAGTTTAAGATGTCTGGTTTGATTTAAAAAAAAAAATGCACTTAGAATGGTATTCATCTTTTATAAAGGCAAAGTTTGTAGAATAAAAACCTCCTCATTTGTTCTGAAGATTGGCCAATTCACTGTCAGTCTTTGCATTTTAAGATAAGATTAGATACACATTATTGTCTGCAATGGGACATTTGTCTTGTCCTGCAGTTACAATTGAACAATTCCACATAAACACCTTCTTACAGCAGTGACATATTGCACGGCTCCTTGGCACATCCTACATTAATTCAGAATATTAATGGACATCCACATTGTTGCTTTATTTTCATTCCCTTTCATCTTCTGTCAATAACAGGTCCGATACTTTGTGCTGTACATCAAACCCAGCCGCATCCATCAGAGGAAGTTTGATGCCAGCGGGAACGAGATTGAACCAAACTTCAGTGATACTAAAAAGGTTAACACTGGCTTCCTCATGTCCTCCTACAGTGAGTAGATAACTACCAGTACCAACATTATGTCTGTAATTAATGTCCCTGCAGAACCGTGAATACATCTTCCATCTCTCTGCAACATCAGAAGAGCCAAGGTAGCGACCATAAAAGCTGTGGTCAGATAACAGTTTCCCCTGGCAGTCTGTGTCAGAGTCCCAGACTCTTTACTCTTTCAAAAATGCTGCCTCACAATGAAGTCTTATAAACACTGAGATTTAAAGTCAAACTCTCCAGGAACGGCTGATAAAGAGACAATGCTAGGTTTGATAGGTAAGAGAAGCCAAAATGTTAGATTTTTAAAATGTAAAATATGAAAATAGATGAGCGCATAGGAAGACTCAAGGAAGAATGTGCTACATTTTACACATAAATACAGCAGAAATCGAGGATATCCTCTGTGAATGTCTCTCTGAGTCATGACTGTCTACAATGGAAGCCCACTGGCTGTTGTTGTTGTCAGGGCCGTGTTTACACTGAGTTTACATGGACGGGACGACCGACTCCTCCCCTTACGTATTAAAATCTATTCAAGGACTGGAGAAAAAAAGAATAACATACTCACTGCTTATTTGAATGTCACATCAGCGTTTTTCGAAAGTGTGCTAACATAAGCACGCAGACACAGCAATTGCAGCTCGAGCAAAGACAATTTTGTCTGCTGCTAGCGCTTGACTCCTTCATGCTGGTGCTCAAGGGCGACATCTACTGGATCAAAAAGTTGCCCATTCTTCCTTTTAAAACAAAATAAAAAATTCATTCATCCAAATTGAATTACACCTAAACACTTACAACTACATTGCTAACGGGCAGAAAACATGTTGGAAATGTGTTGTCACTTCCCAAACATTTTCCCAATCCAACCCAAGTAGCTGCGTTGCCTTCAGCTACCCACACAGAAAAAGGTCATGGTTTGGGCTGCAATAATAAGACAGATCCTCAAATCGGAGTAGATTTTGTGGGTGGACTGGACATGTTTGGAACATCTAAATGTCAGTATTTTTCACCACAGGTATTCAGTTGTACGTGTACGCTATCATTTTATGGTCAATTTGAGAATCAACAGTCGGGTAGAAGCCGCTTGATAGGCTGCAGAGTGCTCCTTTAGGTTTGAACGAAAACGGAACACATGAGGTGAATAAAAACGTTAGAGAAAGATGATCAAATGCATGTAGACTCCATTGATAACAGAAAACAGACCCCTACATCTGAGCTCGTTTTTGAATTTGGGCTGTTTTCATGGAAGTTCTTAGATTTCAGTTTTCCTAAAACTTGAAATGTATCTAATTTTATTGGCTTAAATGCATTTTTTTTTTCTGACCACATAGAGGTGGAAGAAAAAGGGGAGTCAGACCGTCTGTCCGAGGAGCAGCTGTCAGCGATAATGAACAAAGCCGAGCTGGTAAAGATAACCGACAAGTACCGACCCAGCGGGACTGTGGCCTTCTGGTACCCGGAGTCAGAGATGGATAAGACCGAGCTGGAAACAGGGCAGGATGTACGACTGAAGACCAGAGGAAACGGCCCCTTCATATGTACGTTTGTGTTGTCCATCCTGTTTCTACTATTCAGATGCTTCCACCTTTAAAATAAGCACTGCAGTGGATCTTTGTTAAATGCAGTAGAAGATGTATTCCAAGCTCTTTCATTTGTTGTCTGACTGTATGAGAAAGTCTTGCTTTTTAAAGCCAAGAGCTCTTTTAGGTTTTCGTGGCTTTTGCACTGATCAAGCTTGTCCCTCCCATTTGCTCTGGAGGGGGAACAAAATTAAACTTGAATTTTGTTTTTCTCTCTCTTGCGAAGTTTCATGAGAAACCTCAGGAGGAGTGGACAGATATTTGGCTCTTAACCAGCCCTTTGATATTTAGTACACTTTATGATCGGACTGGATGGGAGTGCTTTGGTCTGTTTTTACACATTGCTTTGGCTAAGTCTCTTATATAGGCAGAGCTGAATAATCATAGTTAGAGTACGA